GATGCCACAGCACTCTACCCAGGGGGATAACTTGAGGCTCTGTCTCAAAATAAATAAATAAATAAAAATAAATAAAAGCATCCCTTGGTAACCAGGTATGGTGGCTCACACCTGTAATCCTAGCAGTCTGAGAGGCTGAGGTAGATGGCATAAGCTCAGGAGTTCAAGACCAGCCTGACCAAGAACAAGACCCCATCTTTACTAAAAATAGAAAGAACTAGCCAGGCATTGTGGTGGGTACCTGTAGGTCCAGCTACTCAGGAGACTAAGACAAGAGGATTGTTTCAGCCTAGAAGTTTGAGATTGCTGTGAGCTACGATGATGCCATAGCACTCTACCCAGGGCAACAGAGTAAGACTCTATCTCAGAAAAAAATAAAAAAGAAAGCAGCAGCATCCCATGGTAGTGTAACAGAAAGAATCATAAGCTTTTCCCACCTTAATTATATTCCCAAACTTGACTGCTTTGATGCATCTAGGTGTTTTCTTCTTCTCTCCCTAAGTTTTCTTTCTTTTTCTCCCCTTTATTAATATTTTTATTTCTTTACTTGTTTTAGAGACAGGTTCTTGCTCTGTCTCATGATCATAACTCACTGTAGCCTCGAACTCCTGGGCTCAAGTGATCTTCCTGCTTTTATTAATATCATTTTTAATTCCTAAAGTAAAGTATGTTCAGTGGCACCTGTAGGTCAGTGGGCAGGGCACTGGCCACATACACCGAGGCTGGCAGGTTCAAACCCAGCCCAGGCCTGCTAAAACGACAATGACAACTGCAACAACAACAATAAAAGAAATAGTCAGACATTGTGGTAGGCATCTGTAGTCCCTGCTACTTGGGAGGCTGAGGCAAGAGAATCGCTTAAGCCCAAGAGTGTAAGATTGCTATGAACTGTGATGCCATGGTACTATACCCAGGCGAAAGCTTGCAATTCTGTCTCAAAAAATAAATAAATAAATAAATAAATAATAAAATATGTTCAACATAGAAAAGTCAAAGACTACAGAAAAATCAGTGCATTGAGTATGTAGCATACAGTGAGAGTCCTCCTCACTATCCTTGTCCCATCTCCTTTCCTTTGGTGTGCATTCACTTTTTCCAGGCTCATAGAAATATATATATATATATATATATATTACATACAAATATAAGGTGTTGGCTTGGCGCCTGTGGCTCAAGTGGCTAAGGCGCCAGCCACATACACCTAAGGTGGAGGGTTCTAATCCAGCCTGGGCCCACCAAACAACAATGAT